TGTTTCACACCAAACACAGATTTTTTTTAAAAAAAAAATCTATGTTATATTAACAACTGGAACTACTTACTTTAAAAGGCTGGATTAATGGCTAACTCCTCAAACAAACTTGATTATTTATTTGCTTTCTTATTTATTTGTTTTCCTATTGACAACATAAGTCACGTTGGTTGCTTTCAAAGAAAGAACCAAGGATGTCCATCAGGTTTGCTTGAAGCAAATTACAAGAAAATTGTCTCCTTTACAATCTGTTTTTAAAGTTGATTTAAATATAATCTCAATTAAATTGGAGGGTAGACTTTGGGGGAGGATCAGTTCCTACTCAGACTATCTTGGCAAAGATGTCAAAGAATTGTGACATCATACCCTTGACCAAGATACTTTAGTTTAATTGAAAGAAATGAGACCTAAGTTTGCCTTGTCCTACAGAGCTAAATAAGGATGTAAGAAATCATCACTTTTGTCACCTGAACTAGAATCACAGACTGCTAGAATGCCCAAAATATGTAGTTGTACTTCATGTCCTATGCTCTCATTTGCTAATGAAGAAATACTAAGAAACAACTGGCTATGTTATAATTCTTGGACAAATGTTTTACTGTTCTGCCAAACTATAATGCCACTACTACAGAGTAAATATGAGATTGTTATTTTATAAGCAGGTGCAATGTCTGAAGCACTGTATTTTGTGTTTATTATACGGGATTCAGATTGAAGGAGGGGACAAGGGAGGCAACTAGCCAGCTTAGCTACAGGTCCACAATACTGCTGCCACACTGCAGGCATAAAATCTACATGAGGTACAGTGATTTGTCAGCATTTAATATGGACCAATGTACACTGATACAGAACAAAAGTAAATACATAACTTATATATAGCTAAGTATCCATGAACAAAAAATAAAATTCTATCTCTATGTTATATTTACACATTTTTTAAAAATCTTAAATGAGATGGTGACTACTCAAGAACCTTGCTTTGAGCTCCAATGATGAATTTTAAAAAAGAAAAAATATTTTTGCTTTCCAACGATTGTCCTTCCTTGATTTTTATAGATACTTTAGAGCCAGTATAGGCTAATAAATATCATACACTGATACTGCAAATTTTAAATTCCAAACCTGTCCAATAAGTCACACTCTACCATCTGTTGATTCATGAAGAGCCAATCAACGTCAAGAACACAGATTTAAGTTACAGATCATCAACACAGATGGAGGACTGGAGCTCAAACAAAGTATTCATACATATAAGAATCTTGCATAAATAAATGAAATAACAAGACATAAAAAAAATGACTCAAATCCGGCAACTGTGAGGCAGGCCCACACGAGTCGAAACAGATGACTTTTGTTCATGTCGTGTTTTTTTTTGTACAACAGTTTCACATTAGTTAGAAGTGATAAAAAATACCATTTATATCCAGTGCTTATTACACTTACGAAACAACATCTGTGAGTGTGTGTTTTTGTAGTACGAGTAAAATCAAGTTTCAGTCCTAAAGAACAGTCCTTTGTTCTCTGCCAGCCTGCAGAATATTATTTTGGCATGGTCATAGAATTATAAAAAGAAAATACCTCACGAAACTAAATGTTTGCCCTTGTGCAAAAATAATTACAAAACATACAATGCTAGCACTACAGCACATTCTAGCTATGGAAAAAAACAACAACCCCAGACATGTAGAATGGAGAGAGATTTATAACAGGAGAAACTTGTAGGAAATTAATAAATAGTCGTTCTTTAGGAAATAACAGGTTATTTCCCATCCAAGCTACATCTATTAGATCAGTTCGAATTCCTAAGCAATCTCAAAGACCACAAAGGATTTTATTTCAGTACCTTAACTAGATGAAGAGGACTCTCATCAGCTAATGATAGCAAGTGCCTTTGCATCTTGGCTAGACCAGTTTTAGTGTCCTAACTGTGGGATATGAGAGAAGCATTCATTCAAATAAATAGGAAAGATAAATGATTCTATTCTAGATGATAGAAAATGGCTGCCAAAACTTGATGACTATGTGTGTATGCATCCACACATACATGCACGCACGCACGCACACACACACACACACACACACAAATGCTCAATCTGCTTGCTGCGTGGATTAAAATCTCCTATTGTAAAATTGCAGAACTGCCTCCACTTGTAGAAATAATTACTGGAAACTGCTAGGTCATAATTTTCTTTTTCTGCTAAAACTACAAGATTTTTGATAGCATGATGATAATCTGGCTCGACACTACGTTAATGTTGCTGATGAGAACGCCAGTCTAAAACACTCTGAAAAGAACTAGGCAAAAAGATGCAATGGCCTCAATCAAAAGACCAAGTCTCCCTATGTAAACTTCCCATTGCAAACAGAAACAGAGGGAGCCTCATCAGCCATTCTCAGTAATGGAAGCTCTAGGCACAAAGATATGATTGCAATCATTTAAGTGTAGAAGGATCTAGGTCATATTTCATAGATTTATTACTTGGTGGTTTATCATCTTTGCCATCCTACAAAGTGCTAAAATGCTTTTGAAAAACCTGGCACTCTTATCCCCTGAGCAAGCTAATAAGAATCTTCCTCCAGTCTTAAGAATGGCATGTCTGTAGAAGGCAGAACTCTTGGTACAATTCACCCTCATATAATTAAATGGTTTGGATGAAACATACCACTTGGAAGGGAAACGGAGAGGCAGCTGCTCCATTTGGATTAATACCTGATATATTTTCTTAATCACCATTAAACATTCACACTGAGAATCTAATTGGCATGGAAAAATTTACCCCGCCATACCATAAAATGTCTATGTGAAACTGGTTTTACTTAGAGGGTATATAAAACTGCAATCTTTTCTGGTATATGTACCAGTTAGAAATAATTGTAACTATTGATAGTCAGATAAAAAAAAAGAAAGCATTTATATTCTCTCTTCAAATCAAAGCAGGAGTTGGTGAGTTTATAAGTCACTAACCAGGTTTTGTACTTTGAAATACATTAAATGGATCAATTTCAAATTTCAGTGTTAAATACTGACATCCACAAACAACTGGATGTTTAATTTGGGAATGCTTAATTTTACCTTGCCCTTGGCTTCTTAGAAATCAATATTATGTATAATAAAACTATATATTAACACTGAAATAAATAAGAATTTAAATTTCTACAGCAGTTTTGATCTAAAAGACCCAGCATAATTCACAAATACTGACCTTGGGGTATAGCTTTGTGTTCTTTTGTTTTGTTTTTCTTATATGGCAGATAACATAAAGTATTGAAAATTTTCAAATACTGCTGAGCATATGCATCTAAATTAATAAAGTGAAATTGTAAGTACAAGGATGATCCTTGCATCCTTTTCAGTTCTCTAGAATTAATATTCAACACAGATTATCTGCAAGATTTAAAATTTCTATAATATCATAAGGTTACATATCATCAAAGGATGATTATGGGAATAGCAATAGGAAGATTCCTAAACAGCGACAGCACTTTACTCTCCAAGAAAGAGGAAGACTATGTTGTATTTCTAGGTTCTCTATGTACTAGAAAAAAAAGTTAAGATAATCTAATACATAAACTTAACAGAAATAGTTTTAAACCTTGCATCCAATACTGTGTTAGGCTACAACTTTCATTATGCCTAGCACTAGGCATACTAGGTGGGGAATATATGAAGTGTTGTCTGACCAACATATAATAACTCAAGATTAGAAAACAGAAGTACTTTAGGGAAGCCTCACAAATTATCCTAAAAAGAAACAGCATAGTAGATAAATATTGTATACTCTCCTGTTATGATACTATTCTACTAATAATAGCATTTTTCCAAGTGTTTCTGACATGTAGAAACACATTTCCTCGTGTGTGAGAGAGACAGAGAGAAAGAGAGAGTTATTCCTTTCCAATATTAAGTGCCTCATTATTTTTAAGATACCACACACTTTTAGGGGGAAGGGCTCTTTAGAAGAAATAAAAGGCAAACAAATGATAATGCCATTACAACAATACATTTGATTTTTTTTTTTTACTGCATGGCCCCCTGACATTCTGGAATGAATACATTAAGACCAAATGTAATTAAGACTGAATATAAGAATTCAAAGCAAAGGGGCAGAGAATGACTTGAAGGTGGGCTTACATTGCTAAGACAGGCCTGTCTTAGCCGGTGATCACTCTGTTGTGCTTACTTATGTTTCACACTGATGGTACATCAAGAAGCAGAAGCAACTGAACAAGTGCATTGTAGCAATCATATTCACTTTTTAAGCAATATCCTGTCTCCAGATTCCTGAGTATTTTACAATTTTCTGGAAAAAGTAGGATTTTCTTTTAAGATATATCAGTATTTTTAAGATGCCAAAGGATTGTCTAAGACTTTACAGTGTCTCCCTTAAGACTTTTTTTTTTTAAATATTAAGATTCAGAAGTTAGGAAAGTTTGGCACATCAGAAAGTTAGCTATATCTAAGGAGGAAAAAAAGGAATTTAGAGACCTTATTTTAAAAAGGATGAGCTAATACAGATAGATGTACACGCTTAGGACTTGTTCTGTTTCATGATAGGAAATTTGCAGGGTTTTTTTGTTTTGTTTTTCAAATAGATCAGAATAAAAACACATTCACAATCTGTAGGCTGGCACAGCATACCTGAGTGAGAATGTAAAACCCCCATTAAAACAGTAACTTAAACCTTTTTTTATCAGCATCCAGGAAGAGGAAAGAAGAGAGAGAGAGAGAGAGAGAGAGAGAGAGAGAGAGAGAGAGAGAGAGAGAGAGAGAGAGAGAGAGAGAAGACTTGTAAGAGAACAATTGATTCATATCAGTTTTCAAGTCCCCAATGTCTGATACTTAATGTCTTCACCTAAATTTTTTTTAAAAAAAGTTCATGAAAATTAGGGAACAATCTGTGTCACACAATAAGAAACATTTAAGACCATTCTGCAGATGTAACTGAAGGAGCCATACATGCATGCAGGCTCATTTAAGAACTTTTTGTTCAAAAAAAAAAAAAAGAAAACAAAGTCAAGAGTAATTCAGCAAACATCCTCAGTTGGCAGCGACCGCCTCATGGGCTTCGTTTTCACTGCTATAGTCTGATTTGGGGTCATCCTCAAAGTCCTCGTACATTTCCATCTCATCTTCCCCGTTTATCATTTCATTTCCAGCAAGGCTCCCACTGTCCGTCTTCATGCTGTAAGTGCTCTGAATGACAGGGATGCTGGGCTCAGGACTAGCAGAAGTGCTGGAACAATCAGATGTCATCTGAGGCGATGGCGTAGTAGTTGCCATAGTAATAGCACCAGGATAGACCACTCCTGTTCCTGTGGCAATTGGAATCTGAGGCTGTTGCCTACAAGGAAACAAAGGTATGTTTGAAAAGTGGTCCCTCCCATTTTAACAAAGGATGCAGCAGTATTGTTTTCTCCTTTTAACACTTATTTTTTAAACATGTTGAACAATTGAACAGGCTTCCACATAAGAACCTAGAACTAAGGAGAAGTTAGAACAATTAACCAGTGGAACAACCTGCCTCCAGAAGTGGTGAATGCTCCAACACTGGAAGTTTTTAAGAAGAGACTGGACAGCCAATTGTCTGAAATGGTATAGGGTTTCCTGCCTGAGCAGGGGGTTAGACTAGATGACCTCCAAGGTCCCTTCCAACTTTTTTATTATTATTATTATTATTATTATTATTATTATTATTATTATTATTATTATTATTATTATTATTATTATTATATTTATCAGTACGCCGATGATGTCACTTGGTTTGGTAACAAAACATCTGCAAGAAAACAGTCAAGTTCAGGGACCACCAAAGACCCCACAATTCAACCCTGAGCTAAAAATATTCTCTTCTATCTGTATTGATGATGTCTTTCTTTGGTTGTGTTTTGGGTTTTTTCTTTCTTTTTTCTTTTTGTGCCTTTGAGTCAGTGTTGACTCCTAGTGACTGCCTGGATAAATCCTTTCAGTTTTCTTGGCAAGGGTTTTTGGAAGTGCTTTGCCCTTGCCTCTTTCCTAGAGCTGAGGGGGAGTGTCTGGCTCAAGGTCACCCAACTTTTTGTGCCAAAGGTAGTACTAGAATTCAGGGTCCCCCAGTGAGTCAGTTTGGTTTAGTGGTTAAGACACCAGGCCAGAAGCCAGGAGAGTGTGAGCTCAAAAACAATTAAAATCAGTAAGACCGTCATTTAGTAATACAATATAAATTATATTTGTATTTTATATTACAATTATAAAACAACATAAAATAAGGAAGGGGGAAGGAGAGAATTAATCTCTCTCTCTCTCTCTCTCTCTCTCTCTCTCACGCACACACACCACAATCTAACTAATAAAATTCTGACAATGCCTTTGGATACTGGTAAAATATTCCTCAGGTAATTCAAACCCTAATCTCTTCAAGCAAATACACCACCAAAACAATAAATGCCTTTTTCCATGTTTCCATTAGTACGCCTTGTACAAAAGAGCTTCATCATAAAGTCTTATTAGTAGACAAAAAAATACCACGGAATAAAGTAATTCTTTAAGTAGCCCAATGGCAAGCTAAAAATAGTGATCCCCATCTTGAATTATTCTGAAACTGAGCCATAACCAATATAACGAATATAGTATACAGTTCATTATCCCAGGATTAGACATCATTAAGCATCTTAATGGTTTTCAATGGGCACTCCAAATGGATGGAACTGTGCTTGCTGATCTGTGTAAATATAGCTTTCTCCTTTTTCCATTCAGAAAAGAAATCTGAAGGGGAACTGTACCCACATTCACTTGATCATGAATGCTAGTCTCCACATCATTCATAATCTGAATAAAACAGGGTCCTGGATCGCGAGTACAACGCTTCTCCAACTCCTCAATGTAAGTTTAATGGGCTTTTATTGCTACATAGTGATATGATAACCCATATTCTAAACTGAATATGTAAATGACATATTTGAGTATCATGAGCCTTATTCTTTTGCTGCAAAGTCAGTCATCTGAACTTCTCAGATTGTCTTACTATCTTAAATGAGGATTATATTCTAATCCTAATCATATTTCCAATTTTTAATCTAAATTTGATTTACATAAAAAATTAAAAATTTAACCTCCAGTCCAGTGTGCCAAGCTATAAACAATCCAAATCAATGATCTGGTTTCCTAGACTTCTGATATGAGATTTCCATTCAATATTTAGACTCCAAAAATTTGCTCTGGAATCTATTGTTACAATAAAAAGAATCCATGAAAAGACAGACATTCACTAGCAATAACAGGAAGGAGAATAATGTAAGTTTCCATAGCAAGCAGTATTTATAGTGGACTTCCTTCTTTTCACAATTGTGTATATGCCAGTGGAAGAAGACTCAAGTGAGAGGGAAAAAATTAACCTGTCAGAATTTAATTCTGGTTATTTTAATTAAAGCATATTGTTCTGTATTTTTTCCAAGGCATTACTGTTACTTAAAATACGGACAGTAAACTACAAATTCAGTCCATTCCTATATCTGTTTGTAAAGAGAATTCAAAACATTATTTGAAGATTCATATTCATTTAATACAAATTTCTTTTTCTAGTTCCATTGTTAGGCAGTTTTCTCAATGAACAATTTTGTAAACAATTGCAGTTATATGTGAATGGTTTTGAAATGTATAGATTTTTTATATATTTTTATTTGATGATCTGCATCATAAAAGTTGATGGCTAAGATTTCAAGAACTCCTAATTAGATAAAATTGTATTAAATATGAATTAAATGAATTAATTCCCATCCATATTGTAACAGTAATGTGGAAGGAAATTTTACATTGATATTAATTTAAAAGCAATGTAATACTAATGAATCCCAGCTAATGTATTGTGGATTCAGATTACCCTCAATTGTTAATGTCACTACAACAGAGATGGGTGAGTGGGAGGAATGTTTAATCATGGGCTAATCTTAAGTGTAGGTTAAGTGTCAACCCTGAGTAGGAATTGGACCACTATTAGGAAGAGATGAAATTCACACATTTAGATTATTTTGCTGGAAAAAAAGAAAAAAAACCCTACTCAAATACCTACCCTACGGTAAAAAATTGCCTCATCTCTTGTCGTCGAGATCTCATTAGTTGTTTGTATTCTCCAATGCGCAGTTTTTTGCCATCAACAATGCAAGTGCGTTTTGGTCTGGGTTTATATTTATAATTAGGGTATTTTTCTAGGTGGATTTTACTTAATCGTGCTTGCTCTTCATAATAAGGTTGTTTCTCTTGGTTCGACATGGATTTCCAGCGGGAACCTGCATAGGAAATACATATATATCAGTGAATTATTGAATTTATTCATTTTGGGGGTAACAAACCTCTAAACAGGAAGTAGGAATCTGGCTGTGTGATAATTCCAACAATCTATGACCATTATCCATTAGGAATCAGCCTAACTGAAGTGGGTCCAAAAATATCAGAAAGGCCAGAGATTCTCCAAGCTTGAACTTAGTCGTAATCCATAATTCATTTTAATGCATCAACCAAGCCAAATCAAACTAATTATCATATATTCTTCTCAAATGTTACCAACCTTTCTTATACTTCATGCAAGTTGTGAGAGTAAAACTAATATTAGCTCTGTCTCTCTCTCCATACTCATTATCCTTATGAGCAGGGCAAAATATTAGAGCAAGAAACTTCTTGAGGTAGACGTTACCCTTCAGTATAAAAGGTAGTCTCTACTAGAGAACCACCATTTGCAGAATAGATGAAACCATCTCCTTCATAGCTTCAGCCTGAACATGAGGCAGGTGATAAGAATGAAAATATGGAGTGAATGGCATATTGTGATAATTAAGTTTCAGAATATGTGAAGAGGATATAAAACTTCTCAAGTAACTTCTCAAGTAAGTAATTTCTGTGTAGGTGAAATAAAGAACTCACCATAGTTATGTTAAATGTGATAATAATTTCAGCATGCTATCTATCAGGAAATTCTTGGTATATCCTTGAGACAAAGACCAAATCATCACTATTTCTACTACTCAATCATTAATTTATTAAGAGATGGTACCAGGCAATTTTTAAAAGCTGTGTAACTAATACCATCCATCATGTTGGATCTGAGGCTTTCTTTTTATTAGTATTACTCTTCAGTTCTACATTGCAAATATCTTTTATATCTAAAGTGACACTTAACTCTTTTTGAAATGGAAGGCTTATAGGCTAAGGAAAAAAAATACTTATTACATTTTAAAAATATCAGTAAACATACCTAAGCCCTTTACTGTACTAAAAATATCTGATTTAATTACTTGGTCAATCTTGAAATCAATCCACGGCTCGTGAATACATATTTTGAAAGTAAAAAAATCTTATAAATGTATTAAATATAATAATCTAAGAGTAAGCAAATTGCATTTTAGAGATGATCCTCTAATCATCTTGGCTTTGATTTAGCTTTCTTCGTGACTGATTCAGTGACCCCTCATTATATATTATATATATAAATTATAGGTTAGATTAAGTGTATGTACTTAAAACTTCCATGGAGAGTACACGTGCAATATCTTTACTACTTTAAATTACTATAAAAAATAATCAAAATACACTAATAAAAGAATACCTACCATTAAAGGGAGAAACATACCATGTTACTTATACAGAATTACTTAAATAGCAGAGAAAAAACTTTCAGCTTGTTAAAAACGATTACAGCTGTGGTCAACGTGGGTGAAACCTATTCTTTTACTAAAAGCTTTTATACTTCAACAAATGGAAAAATTGTATAAATATTATCCAGAGTCAGCAACACTGTCATCAGTTTTAATATTTTCAACTTTTTTTTTGTCATTGTCCTGGAAAATGTGTGCCAATATTATATTTAAATTGTCACATTTTCTTTCTCCCTCTCTTTTCCTCTTTCTCTGGTGGTGGCGAGGTAATTCCTGGCACATTATATCTTCTTTAAAAACATATGATTGCTGGCACTTCTGAAATATTTATACTGAATGTTTGCATTTCAATGAATACTCTTACTATACTTACAACAGTTTTTTTTTCTTTAAAGAATGCACACAAATAATGTGGACTCCGTATATAGTTGCCAAAATTAAACAGTACATGTTTTATAGAAATCTGAAAGACTATTCATACAACATACTAAAAACAGTAGACAAACACCTAAGCACTTCTATGAAAAACACCACATTTTTTAGAACAGAGTTACACTTATTTTTAAAGAGTTTTTATATCTCTTAAAGAAAGAAAAAAGCTTATAAGAAAAGTAGCTTTGTTAAAATGTATAATAATGCAAAATAAATTCATTTCAGATGACAATTGTTTGTCTATTAGTTAAAATTTATAATCTTAATTTAAAGACTTGGTGGGAAAATATCTATTTAAGCATTTCCCTTCCCAGTTAACCATACAGACATTGTAATGCTTCAAACAAATCTTGAATCTTAATTCTGTAGAAAATCAACAGATTAATTTTTTGTGAGATAAAGTATAACACTGGATAAAAAACTGTAAGTAAAATGAACTTGGGTATTGAATTCTCAAAACATTTCTATTTAACTCTCTTATTGTTAGTTCCATTTTAATTATGGAATAATTGTTTACATGCTAGGGAAAAAATTATTATTCAGTTTGACCATATTACTACCAAAGCTTTTTATTAATGCTCATTTATATTCCCAGTGTAAAAAATTATTCGATAATTTTCTCTTGCAGAAAGCTCATTTTTCTAATTTCCTATGATTTCTTATATATGGGTGCAATAATATATTGCTAATTATCTCTGTACAACATAATGCTACTGACATCCAGGTGTATTGCTTTGTTCCATCTAAGGAGAAGACATGAGCTATACTGAGGCCAATAAAGTAATTCCAAATCTCAAACATTTTGTCAGTGAAGAATTCTCTAGTTTGGGTAATTCACCTATTTTTGATGGGACTGTATACTCTCCTAAAAGAAAAAAAGGCATATCTCAGGATTCCTCACAGAACTAAAAGGATCAATATAGATCCAGTTTCAAGAAGCACTTTTTCCACTTTGAGCTAGATTATAAAACAAGACAAAGCAATACAAGTATTAAAATATATTAAATCATAAATCCTAGAGATGTAACCAAGTGATTTTGTCTTCCATAAAGATCTTGGTTGTACTACAACCCACAGATATTTGCTTGGCATTCAGTACGAAAAGGGCTTGTGGTCCTGATTCTGGGCAAGAAATGGATCTGTTCCCGCTGAGATACTTTGTACATTTGAATTAGTACTTACCAAGAATTTTGCTAATGTTGGAGTTGTGCATGTCAGGAAAAGCTTGAAGAATTTTCCTGCGTTCATCCTTTGCCCAAACCATGAAAGCATTCATTGGTCGTTTGATGTGCGGCTCACTGCTGCTTCGTCCCCGGGCATCTCTGTAGACTCGCGCTTCAGCCACAGTAGCACCTCCTGTTGGCCAACAATAATACTGCTGTAGTTTAGCTGCAGAGCCATTCATTGCTTTACTTCCTGTAATGCCAGAGCAGGAAGAAAGGAGATGGATGCCAACATTATTATTATGTTATCTGGATTAGGGATAACTTCATAGGTCCTTTTCATTTGCCTCTTCCAGAAATATGAAGGAAATGAATACTAAATTCAGCTATCAATTTAATCAGTTTTAGTGTTTCTTGGATACTTGCTATCATTCCCTGAAGCAATGGGTGTAGAAAGTTTGTGATACTTGACTGAAATGTTGGGATGAGAGACATTTTGATATACTGTACATTTAAAAGAATGTACTGTACATTTCCACAAAAAGAAAGTGATGCAAATAATGCTAAACATGAAGTGCATCATAGGAACAAAATGTAACTGTCATATACTATAATTATGACAAGACTAAAAAAAAAACTTTATTTTAGATCGCTGCCCACATAGATGACAAACCCTCAATGACTCTGAAAACTTGATGAAAACTAAACTGGTGGAAATCCGCAAAGCAGTTTTGATTTTACAGTGCAGACAAGTTTTATATTGTCTTCACTTTTGAATCTATTTCTTTCAATTACACAGAAACCCAACCCTGCCAATTGTTGTAAAAAAAAAAATCAACTGTAGTTTAAGCACACAATTATTTTGATTGTTCTGTACAAGCAATTCATTTTTATGGATAAATCGTGGAACAGAGGATGCATAACTAATATGCTACCTTTTTGCCAGCATGTCTACAGTACATTAATTTCATTTAAAATGCACTGACCATACAGGATAAATTGATTTCACTTTATATGATGTTGACAGCCATGTTTATTGTGCAGTGAAATGTAGTGTAGCTTCAGGCTGACAATATCCATCAACACAGGGCAATATGTTGACTGCTGGGCCAGATGAAGACATACATTATCCTAGAAGCAAAACACTTACTTATATGTGACACTGTCTTCTCTTAAGGATCACCAGAGTAATTTATGAAGCCCTCAATACCATTACTTTAAAACTGACACCAGTTTTACCACAGCATGCAGATAAAAGACAAGTCTGCTGTGAATGTCAAATGTAGTATTTTAACAGGAGCATAAGTTTAACTACTGTGCCATAGCTTTCAACATTTGCTAGCAGTAACTGTTACAGTAGCCTCTCTATCATAACACCAGGCAGATGGAAATATACCTGGTATCTAACAGAAAACAGCAGACCCAAAATTGAGTTTTGCTGCAGAAGCTCAATGTGTAATTCTGCATAGACAGTGTCTTTCATACTAGCATTCTAACTGGATTTTAGTATTATATTTCATTGTTATTTCAAATATGAAAGCACAAAAATATGAAAGCACATCCAGTTTTAAATTCCTAAGCATGCAGTAGGAATGGATGAAACATTAATTTTACATGTGTATGTCTGTGTCTGTGTGTCTGTGTGCGTGTGTTTGTGTATGTGAGTGAGAGGAGAGGAACTTTAATTATATTTTTTTTAACATGCAGAATAAACATTTACGCCTTAATCATCCAATGTTTAATGCTTTAATCAACTATCTCAGTCAATGTATATTTGGGGATCAGTGTCAGATAAGATGATCCCCCTCTCTGTCCCAAAATGCTGCCTCATCGTGGTGGGGGAGTGCTCCAGGGAAGGTGAAGAAATAACATATTCTCCCAGCAAGAGAGTCATCTTGGCTGTCTAGCTAAAACAAGCAGGCAGCTATCTAGGAAGGGATTGGAGGTGGATGATCATGTTAGTGACAAGAACAAAGACTTAATTTCATATTGCACCATAAAAGGCAGTGGTAAACCTCTCTTATATTTTATCAAGAAAACAATGTGGATAGAAAATATAATGTGACTGACAATATAGTACATGATGGTGGGCCTCTGAGGTTGGATGGTACTCAACATGCTACTGAAAAAGAGCTTCAGACATTTTGCTAATAGTGTTTTTGATACTGCTAGAGGAAAGCCTTCCAGATGTGTTTTTGCTAGTATTGCCAGGCAGAACAAGAAACTTTAAAGGTGCAAAGATATTGAGAACATGAAACACAAGAAGCATAAGCATGGGAAAGTTCAACACAGTGAAAGATGGAATTAATCAATTACACTTCTTTAACATCTTAGATGTCAGTGAACTGAAATGGGCTAGAATGGACTTTTTTCAGTCAGAAGATCACACTGAAGAATGTTATTTATTTCATTTTAAGAAAGAACACAGCAAAACCAGTATTGATATGTCAACTCAATTTTAAAAATGAATTAATCATTCAATATGACAATTCTCCAAATTTATAGCAGTGATAAGCACACTATCAGAAGAGCTGAAGGGCTGGGTTGGAGGCAGATCATCCTGAGGAGGTCACTAAGACTTGATGCCAGTTTGACAGTAATCAATCATGGCTAAGATGACAGTTTATATGTAGAGGCTTAATTCAGCCAAATTCATGAAGTAGAACAAATCTATCCTGTTTTGGATGAGATCACAGTCTCTATGATGCAATGAATTTGCAGACAGGAATTCTATTGGATTCAGGCCACCATTGAAAATGTAAGAAATCTATAGTGACACACAGTGCTTTTCACAAGCATAGAATTCTAGAACAATTACAATCCTTCCTGAACAGAGATAGCCCATCTTCAGTCATCTATGCCCTAGTAACCTATTTAAACTACTGCAATATAGTGGAACTACCTTTAAATATCTTGAAAGCTTAGTAAGTTCGAAAATAGTGTTGCTAAGATACTAATTGGGACAGACTATTTTGTTAGCTCTTAAAATGTTATTGAGCCAAAAGACTTTGCTGTCACAGTAGCAAAAATATTGTTTATACATCTGGCAGCAGGGTAGATTTGTTTTTGCAATAAATTTTGCTTGGAATGACAGTTAGTCTTTTGGTAAGATATACCTATGGCTAGATACAACCTCCCTCCCCACCCCGCCTGCTATTGTAGTTACCAGGCAGCCTGAATCAGCATATGAGAAGCACAAACATCATCTGATTGGAAAAGCGATGCCTCAATTTCTTTAGAAATGTTCCTCATCAAAAACATATTGAAGGCATTGAATTAGTTTATCGGGCTCTTACAATCATCTTGATCTAATCTTGGGGATCTATTACAAGCAAATGACCAGTACATATTTCTGCACTTCTAAGCAATCAGACAGTCGGAAATATTTGCTGAAATATAAACTGTAAATTATTTGGAGAGGTTATATCCCAAGATACATTTACTAAAGCAAAAGGGGAAGACTCTCCCCTGGCATTTATTTTGTTTTAGTGTTCATTTGTTAGGAAACAATTCTTAATCAGAGTTATAAATCACAAACAGACCAAACATGTCATGAAACTTCTATCTCCATCTGCCTTGAGCAAGCCTACACTTGAAAGATTTGGAAATAAAACCAGTAAAACCTTGAACTTCTCTACTTGATCTCTAAGTGAATATTTGTGCTTCGGCCCAAGGGCTGCTATGAAAGAATGTGTGTGAAATGAGCTTCTGCAAATAATTAACCATCATGTAATATTCCATACTCTTAAACATCTTACCACTATAGGAAGATGTTCAGCATATTATAAATGACAAAGAGTGCTTCTATTTATAATATTTACTATATCAGAGATATATTGCTAATTCACTAACGCTACGGTGATTTAGTTAAAAAGTTAAAAGCATCAGTGTTTGCTCCTTGTAAATTTAAATCTATAACCCTTAAGAAAGAAATTATTTGTAAAATTACAAATAATTGCTACAGCATTTAAACATCAGCCAAAAAGTAAAAAAAAACAAAAAAACAAAATCAAAACAAATCCTTTTGTTTAAAAATCAGCTTACGGAATTTCAAAGACTTTGCAACTTCCAGTAACCAGGGATGGATATATGTTAATCCAGTCTGAAATCTGCCTACGTTTATACCAGCTGAGATTTATGTATGAAGCAGAATCTACTTCTGCACTGAAATACTCCTCAGATTTTTGTAATATGGTTTGCAACACGAAATGTATGTACTACGTCAAGAAAAAGTCAAAATGGGTGTAGTTGGGGAAAGTGTGCAAAAACTATATTAGAAAAGGATATAATGTAATAGTGAATAGAATTGAGGAACAATTATCAGAAGAAAGAGAGCATCAGAGCTATGAGAAAGTAAAAAGTTTAGTTCAGGCTCAAACATACGGGAGGGGGGAGGGCAGTGGTGGGATTCAAATATGTGAACAACCGGTTCTCAGTGCGGATGCCACTTCCAGAAGTTCATTCTGGGCCTGGGCAACAAAAAATTAGCTACCGGTTCTGCCGAAGTGATGCGAACTGGCTGAATCCCACTACTGGGGGAGGGGAGGGGGTGTTTGTTCTAGTAGCAAACAATAGATTTTGTGGGATCCCAGCTACTTGGAGATTCACAACTGGTTTCTAAATTCAAAACAGTATGCTGAAAACGCATTTGCTGAAGACAAAATTTTAAAAACTACGTGTTTGCCTTTTATGACAAACAGCCTCTGTGGAAGTGTACCTTTATAATTCAGTCACAAAAGCATAGCTTTCTGAAGTTCAGAAATACTAGGAAAGGATCAAGAGTTGGTTCAAAAGAATAGATAGGGCTAGCTTGTTTTAGATTTTTTTGCTCCTTTTAGCTGAGCAAAATATGTTATCATGGAAATCATGATACCATATTTATAGGTTCCAATTTAAGGAGGTAAAAATTACCTAAATATTCAAAATGAAGAGTTTTGTGATGCCTTAACAACTAGGACTTCTTTTACTGCATACAACTTTATGCATTATGGGAGCCATATTTATATGAAATTTATACAGAAGTGTTCGTGTATTCATGCGCACGCATGCATGTATGCATACACACACAGGTATACATTTTTTTCAGAGCTGTAGTTCACACATATGATGACAAAAGCTCAAGTGATAATATATTTATAATTCAAATGTATTATATTTCGGAGCCCATAGTCCTAGTCAGGGAATTCTGGGAGTTGCATATTCCATACAGCTAAACTGTACCAGGATGGAAAACATTATCAGATTTGATAGTAA